TATGATGCCATTAGGCCAAATAGTCTTGAACAGTCGGTGGATCAAGTTGAAAATGTGTTGATGTTGTGTTACCATAAAGGCAGGTGAGAATATTTCTAAATAGTGCGGACACTATATACTGCTTTCCAACTGCGCTTAATCCTAACTTTAAGTTTTTCTTGAAATCTAAGAACTTGAACGAGTTGGAGATATCGCCAAATAGCCATTCCACCGAAGCTCTAGCAGAACTCATTGCTGAATTAAATGCTTCCATATCGGCTGTAAATACTGGGACCTCCCCTATCCTGTAAGGGGCCATTAAATGAGGACGAAGAGGGTAAGCTGGGTCTCCATAGAGACATAGGACGTCCCCCCTTCGACTGAAAGCTTCTCTTTCAAGCGTTTGCAGCAGGCCAGAGTCTTTAAGCATCCGTGCATCGTGGCGTGCACCCTCCACCGGACCATAAAGATTTGCTATCAAACCATTTGGCACTACTACAGATTGAAATTTTAGCGCATGAACACGCTTGTGCCCGTTGTATACAACGCGCTGTTTTTCTCCAGGGCGACATATGAGGCGAACCGTGCCGTGAATGAAACCAAAATAATTGGTAAGTGGACTTCCTTGTCTTGCTATAGCACAGGCATATTCTTGAACCCAATCAAGCACAGTGTTAGCGATCATGCAGAGCTCTGGCACCGGACGACCAAAAGTTGAAATTAAATCGAAATAGCGGCATGGGTATGCTAATCGTTTTAGCAGTAAACAAAGTCCTTCTAAGCCACTGCAAACAGTTCCCTGTGGGCACTTGAAACTCGCCGAAATCCGCAATGCGTTCCATAACATCGGAATATCATCCTTGCCCACCCTGAAGTGAGCTTCGCACTCGCAAGAGTCGAACACATCCAAACAGAATGGATCAAAATTCCAGTACGGAAACGAAGGATTAACGGGTTGGTAATAATCGTAAAGAACAATAAACTCTTCATCATCCAGAAAAACATCCACATAAGCGATTAAGAGGGCGTTTCTAGCATCTTCGAAAGACATTTTTTTTTCCAAGTGCAGCCGTAGTCCGTAGTCGTTGTCACAATCTTAACGTCAAACAACACTCCAATTTTCGCGCCCTTTTCGCGTAGTCGGCCCAGTCCACGCGTGGCTTGGACTCTCACGCCCAGACGTAGTCCGTAGTGACCGAATCTTAAACTCCCTATTTGCCCAGGCCGACACTTCCGCCGCAAGCTTATTAAGGTTGCGTTCTACTAACTGTACGGAAGAGCCAGTAGTAAGGATCGTTGTATCGTCGGCAAACATTGTAAGACTTACATTAGAGGCAGAAGACAGGTAGAAGGGCAGATCATTGATAAATATAAGAAAAAATAGAGGCCCGAGGATACTCCCCTGAGGGACCCCCACAGACATAGGTAGTGGATCAGACATAGAACCCTTAAAAGTAGTTTTCTGTGAGCGGTTGGTCAGGTAGGAACAAAACCACTTGAGAGAAGACTCAGAGCAACCATACAGCTTAAGTTTGTAGAGTAAGGTAGTATGGTCTACTAAGTTAAAGGCCTTTTTTAGATCAATTAAAAGTAGACCACTTAGAAGGCCCTGATCTATGTTTGCAAGTAAGGTATCAGTAAGGTTAACTAGAGCAAGCTCGCAAGAACGAAAACNTAAGGATCGTTGTATCGTCGGCAAACATTGTAAGACTTACATTAGAGGCAGAAGACAGGTAGAAGGGCAGATCATTGATAAATATAAGAAAAAATAGAGGCCCGAGGATACTCCCCTGAGGGACCCCCACAGACATAGGTAGTGGATCAGACATAGAACCCTTAAAAGTAGTTTTCTGTGAGCGGTTGGTCAGGTAGGAACAAAACCACTTGAGAGAAGACTCAGAGCAACCATACAGCTTAAGTTTGTAGAGTAAGGTAGTATGGTCTACTAAGTTAAAGGCCTTTTTTAGATCAATTAAAAGTAGACCACTTAGAAGGCCCTGATCTATGTTTGCAAGTAAGGTATCAGTAAGGTTAACTAGAGCAAGCTCGCAAGAACGAAAACATCTAAAGTGACAAATATGCCCATTCCGCCAGCAGCCATGGAACTGAAAGACTGTTTGCAAAGGACCTCGAAAACCATCCACTGGTATTTTTCTTTCACCAATGCGTTTTTCTGTATTGTTCATTTGGTGGCATATAAAAATTGCTCCTTTATGTGCCTTCCACTCTAACCACTCGGTTGCCATCCTGGAAGAACTTTCTCTCTTGAAGCCAGTTTCCTCTCGGCGTCTTGTAAATGATCCGGTGGGCATGTCTTGCATGATGGCCCATAGATATATTAAAGCATTGGCATCGTATCCAACAATCTTTGACAGGTTTTTGCTTGTTTTCCTTGATCTTCCATTTCCTTTTGTCTGATTTTGGTTTTTCCTGCCTTGTGGTTTCGATGAAAGATGATACTAGGGCCACCCACCATATTTTTCTTAAAGAGATAGTACAGATCTTTGTTTTTTTCGTCAAACAGAGAGAAGAAGATGCCAGATTCCAGGGTGGTAAAGAGGTACGTCAAGGTAACACCGGGAATGGAAATACCTTGTCTAAGCATGTCGATCTTTTTATCTTTCCAGAAGGTGCACATTTTTTCCAGGGCCTCGCAAAAGGGCTGGACATCTAGGTTGTTGTACCAGATGAGAAATTCTCGAAAAGTCTGCATATTATTGTTCGATCAGACTTGTTGGCAGTACTGGTAGTCTTCATCAGAAATGTTCTTGTTTTTTTAAAGTAGAAAAGAAGGCTTCGTGAGGTGGAAGGGAAGTGTGTTCTAATTTCTCCAGAGAATCCAGTTATTCATAAGGAAAGAACCCCTTGTTTTGAAGACACTCGTAGGCCTTAAAAAACTTGTCGTAGCTGAAACCGGGAGCAAGAAAGTTGGTGACATCAAGAAAGCGGAGATGTGGAGTCTTAAGGCGCATGAAATTATGGTTACGTCTGATAGTAAAATGAACGCCTTCATTCTGGACTAGGACGGCATTCACGTCATATTTACCAGAATTGAAGCCCAGGTCAGGAAATTCTTGTAGATATTTTTGGAAACGATCTTGTAGTTTCTCTAAAGGGTGCACTTTTTTCTTCTTAGGTTCTGGGCTGTTGTCCTCTGGTTTGTCATACGCACACTCGTGATCATTCTCACTCTGGTCCTCTTGTTCTCGATCTAAGGCCGTGTAAAACGAGGCACCTTGTTCTTCTACGTCATCGTCAATAAAGACACGATCTTCCTCGGTTTCAGACTCGATTTCTTCTTCTTCCTCATCTGTGTCCATGAGATCTCCTTCATCATTGCTATTCTCTTGGGTGCTGTTCTCTACTGTCTTGTCTCTGGAGGGTTCACAACTTTCTGATTTTTGCTGTAAGTCTTGCAGCTTTTGGTCAATGGCTTCAAAAAGGAAATTAAACTCTTGCTTCATGAGACGACGACGACACTGATTTTGACTGGATAGTCCAGCATCTCTTTGACGAGCTGTTTGGAGTCCACATCGGACACAAAGCACTTGGGTTGGTAGCCTCCCCGCAGACGTCCGTTGGGGTTCGTTTGTCACGCATTCATTTCTCCCCCACGAACGTCTGCTAAATAGAGCCGACATTTATGTTCACCAATCACAAGCCATTTACGGTTTTTTGTACATCAGTAAAGCTTTTGATCGGGTGGGTGAGAAATTTGGAATTACAGAGTTAAACAAGTATCAGAAAGAAGCTATCCTGCAAATAGTACAGGGGAAGACTGATGTGTTCATAAATTTGCCAACGGGATTTGGGAAATCCCTTATATATCAAGCTTTGCCGCTTGTTTGTGACATAGTACGTGGAACTTCTGGATATATTGTTGTTGTTGTTTCGCCGCTAGTCAGTCTTATGAAGGATCAAGGTGGAAAGCTCGTAAATATTGGCATTCCTGCTGTAAGGCTAAATGATATTAGCGAAGATAATATGAAGGCTGTCAAGAGAGGTGCTTTCTCCGTCGTTTATGGAAGCCCAGAAGCGTGGTTGAAGATCGATCGGTGGAGGAAAATGTTAGCAAGTGATTTGTACAGAAAGAAACTTTGTGCTATAGCAGTTGACGAAGCACATGTTGTAAAGCAGTGGTAAGTGAAGTAATATTATTATTCGTTGATTTACATGTGATTATAATAACCATAATTTCTAAGCAGCGTTAATCGATAAAAATGTAAACTTTTGGATGAAAGATTTCCCGCCGTGTCATCAATGAATGAATGATGAGTGAGCTTTAGTTAAGTGTCAGAGAATTTAGCTTAGTTAACTAATTGTAGACACTGAACAAGAACATTAATTTAGTAACAAAGGAAAAGTAAGTAATTATGCATTATATTTAATGTTAAACAAACTGAATGCATAATTACATTGTGGAGCTGCAAATAAATCTTGTTTAAGTGATTATAACAAACTTAAAGTGACTCATTATCTCTGCTTAACCTTTTGTTGCTGTTATTTATATGTGTACTAGGGGTACCTCATGCACTAGCAACATGGCAGCATTTAGGGAAACGTACTCTGAGCTTCATGAGCTGCGATCCCTTCCACCTTACGTCAACATATTGGCTTTAACTGCCACAGCCACAAGGTCAACAAGGGAGACTATAACAGAAGTACTTCCGTTGAATACTCCCCATCTAATAAACAAGAGTCCTAGCAAGATCAACATAGCATATTCTGTGCTCTACATAGACAAGGAAAGAGAACTTGACCAGTATTTTGAATGGTTGGTGGAGGAAATGAAAGAGAAGAAAGTGGCAACCACTCGCACAATAATTTATTGCCAGACAATTAAGCAATGTGGTGTTATCTATTCCATCATAAAGGGGATGCTTGGAAGCAGCTTTTATGCGGACAGCTCCGGTGATCCAAGAAAGGTTCTTGTCGAAATGCTGCATTCTTGCACCCCTGATAGGAACAAAAAAGTTGTGTTGGAGGCTTTCCAAGCTGACAATTCACCAGTGCGAGTGCTA